CAGCTAAGCTATATGCGTGCATCGATGAATAGGAACAGAACTAAAGGAGAAATATTTTAAACACTGACCGGCATGACGACAGGCTGCCTCGGATAGCCGTTTCGCCGTTGGCAGATTGGTAGGTATACTGTGCCGCAGCGCCTGGAGATGGGCGGCACAGCATGCTTCCAGGCGCGTACCACTGCTGCCATCTATGGGCAGTAGCTAGAGTATCGAGCGCGAATGGCGTAAGTGGACTAAGTGCGGTGCGCAGCGAAGTTTTCGCTATCGTCAATTTTTAATGCAGGAGAATTAAATGAGCCTGTACTTAACCTTCCAGGCGGTGGGGGGGCATTTTTTTGCCCCCCCCCCTTTAGTTTTTTTCGATATATCTCGAGAACCGCTGCGCCGATCGTCACCAAACTTTCAGTACCCTCCCGGGAGTAGCTAGCGCACATGGTGACCAAAAATTTTTTTCCAAAGGCTATGATAGGTTGGCCGCTAATGACGTCAGAGTGACGTCATTTTTGCCATTTTCGACCCAAAAAAAGGTTTCGCGGGAAGAGCTGTCAGGCCTACAGCTTTAGAGATACAGAAAAATGTACCGACATAAAAGGTGTGGAATCAAAAGGGCTACAAAACTGCTATTTCGGTTTTTCGATTTTTTTTTGGGTTTTGACCCCCAAAAATCAAAAAATAGATTTTTTGAATATAAATACCGAAAAATCCAACAATTTTTTTGAATTTCGAAAAAACCGGAATATATGTGATAGTCCCTACCGCCTTCTATCTACATACCAAATTTGAGATCAATACCTCTCTTTTTGGCCAAGTTATAGCGAAAAAACTGTTCAAATTTGATGACGTCAAATTTTCAAACTCAATTTTTAGCAATTCTAGACCTCGTAGCGCAAAACAAACAAAGGCCTTCATTAGACTCCCCGTGACGAGCTGCATCGAATCGATACCCATTTTATGCAAAAATATCAACTTTGAAATTTGACCTTTTTTGACCTGACCTTGACCTGACCTCCACCAGAAAGTGACCTAAACCGTACCTGATGGTCTTATAACCAATACCATTGAGTTGGAAATGAAAAACTGGCCATAAAACATGCATCGCAAAACTGGCCATAAAACATGCATCGCACAACCTTAGTAAAGTTGGGTTCATGGTGAGGGTGACCCTTGGTGACCTTTGGTGACCTGACCTGTGACCTGACCTGGTATGACCAGTGACCTCTAATAGCAACATATGTACTAGAAAACTGACGCCTTATCGCTGATTTTCGACTAAATGCGTTTTACTCGGTGTTATAGCGCTTTCCCTAGAAGCCCCGTGAACGGTGAAACATTTTATCTTTGACCTGACCTGTGACGTCATCGGTGACCCCGAGGTCAATGAAATTTGGTTACCCTCGACAAATTTGACAGGGCTATCGACAGGGCTATCGCCGTTTGAATTTTCCGGATCCGTCCAGTAGTTTCGGAGATACGAGGGGGGCAAAAAAATGCCCCCTCCCCCCACCGCGCGGAAGGTGGTTGGGAGGCCCACCGCCTGCCGGGTTAATGAATGTATCAAAAATGCCGAATACACACGAATTTTTGCTCATTTTGCAGAAAAATTACCTGTAACGATGAAAACATTGGCACTGCTGGTTTCATTTCCTCGGGCTGCATTGGCACCGTGCTCTGACATGAGCAACACAATCCGCTGGTCTTCCTTTAGCTTGGTATCTTCGGATCACTTATGTTACTAAAATTGTCATATTGTGACTTTGGTTGGTCCTGTCAAATTTTAAACTCCGCTGTCCGCTCCCCGTAGGTTACCTATAATTTTAACTTTTAGCTGAAACGGCGGGATGCTCTACCATTTTCGGGCGCGTCGGGGCTCGTAGTTTCGTTGTCATACTGCTACGACGCCGATTCATCTGTCCTTTGACGAGTGGTATTTTTTCTGACCCTGGTCCCTTCTTCCATTTTTCGCAGGTTACGGCAACATCGCGCCTCGCACCAGCATGGGCAAGATCGTCACCATTTTCTACACGTGCATCGGGTTCCCGCTGTTCCTGCTCTACCTGTCCAACATTGGCAGCGTGCTGGCGCAGAGCTTTAAGTGGCTGTACGCCAAGCTGTGCAAGTGTCGGCCGGCGCGGATAGAGGTGCTGGGGCCGCCGGTGCCGGAGCCCGAGCCGCGGGACGAGGACGAGGAGGCGCCGCGATGGCCCGACGAGCTCGGCTCGTACCGCAGCCAGCCGGAGGCGGCCAGCTCCGAGGAGGCCTCTTCGAGCGGCTCGAGCAGCTCCTCCGAGCTGGACCTCAGCACCGTCACTGTGCCCATCTCCATGTGTCTCATCATCATGGCAGTGTACATTTGCGGCGGCGCCATGTTCTTCGCGCGGCTGGAGGATAACTGGGACTTCCTCACCAGCTGCTACTTCTGCTTCATCAGTCTGAGCACGATCGGGTTCGGCGACTACGTGCCCGGCGACTCGATCCGCTCCGAGACCGGCAGTGTCGAGACCGGCTTCGTGCTCACCTCCATGTACCTGATGCTCGGCATGGCCATCATTGCCATGTGCTTCAATCTGATGCAGGAGGAAGTGATACAGAAGGTACGCTCGTGCGCGCGCTGTCTCGGCTGTTTGCGTGGCCAGGGCTGAGTGTCGTGTACTCCGGTGCAGAGGGTGTGGTCGGGTGGCCGAGACAGTGGACGATGAACGGTGATCGGTGATCGGTGATCGGTGGACGGTTAACGCCACGGCGAGCGGTGAACGTTCCTCTCTAGAGAGAGAGAGAGAGCCGACCTCTTGACAGGAGAGCGACGGACCAGAGCCGATTCGGCGGTAGCGGACCGGAACCAGAGTGCGCCTCACAGCTCCCGACTATCGCCACCAATGACCGTGATACCGACGTCCGTCAGATGTCGACCGCCGGATGCCCATGGTATGACGAGTCCCGGGCCCGGATACCGAGCTTCCCAGACTCACCAAACGCTCGCCAGAACTCGGATGGAGCCACCCCGGCCGCGGGTCTGTATGCGTGTGTGCTGCGCGCGCGTGTGTGTGACATACTTGGCCAGCGCGGTCGCTGAGACTCACTCATCTCTGGTACCTCTCGCGTCACGGCACATTTTTTATCCGCGCCACTGGCGCCGTCTACAGATGGTGAATGACCCATCCGGGTCGTTGACAATGATTTGTTAGCTCTAGCGTCGCGTGTCTACTCTTGGCCCCGTAGCAATGCTCGAACCGTCCATGATTTTTCCGGCTCTCATTTTAGACGTACCCACCACCCGTGCAACGTCCCCGGTTGTGATAGCTATCCATTAGACGAGCCGCGGCCGATTTGTACGAGCCAAATATACGCCCTTACACGATGGAGCGTGGCCCGTTCAGATCGCTCTGCTGTCCCGCCGCTCTTTGTCAGATCTTGGGGAGGCACTGAGCTGTGAACGGGGCTGGCATCGAGAGCGATGGAATCCGGGAGGTACTGAAGTACCGTCCCATGTGGGACCTGCTGTGAGACAGTGAGCACCTGGGGACCACCTGAACTTAGGAATCAACGGGAACCCTCGATTCATCTTTCTAATGTAGGACCCTCTGAAACATACAGTCCATTAGGGTCATCGTATATTATTTGACCCCGAGGGTCAGCGAGGCCATTAAGGTCGGTGGTGGCGGTCGGCGCGGCTCAAACGGGCGGCCGGGTCGGCCCGTCTGACCCGGCACGCGCTCTAATTGGCTCGGCAGCGGGCGGCGCGGCCAACCGTTGGCGGCCGGCGGCCCGTTCATCAGTCAGGGGCCGTCCGTCTTCCAGCGACCGCGGCGCCGCTGCCAGCCGCCGCCACACGCGGTCCCCTCCCAGGCATGCGCGACCGGCGACACTTGGTGACGGCGGTGACGGCACCTGACGGCACCTGGGCAACGGGCAGAAGCACCAGACGGCACTGAGAGGTAGGTACCCGAGGCACCAGCGGCACCAGAAACACACACAAGGCACCTGGGACGACACCAGGGATACTGAATGGAACATGAGACACCCAGAGGCACCACCCGGGACACCCAGCGGCACCCGCGACGCCCAATACGTACCCAGTACACAATATAACGGTACCTATCACACATATGTAGCGGCACCCCGGACACCCAGCGACACTGGGGACACCAAGCGGCGCCTGAAGCATCCAGCGGCACCTGGGACCCGGCAGAAGTGCCTGAGGGACCGGTGGCGTTTGGACTCACCCGGCGGGACCGCTCAGGTCCTGCCAGCGACAGATGGGCTCGCAGCCCCCCATAATATCGCGCCCCGGGTGACACCAGTCAGTGGTTGGTTATCTCCGGTAGTCTTTGAAATGTACATACTGTCTGCTGTCTCAGTTCGTCTGAGGTCCCATTACTATTCAGCATCAAAATGAGCGCACAGGGCAAGCAAACAAAAATGTCTCACGAAATGAACACCTAACGTGGTGCTTCTCCCGATTTCTTAGAAGCGAGATCCTATCCTTTGTGGCTCATCATATGAGCTCCTATGCTGCTTGGGTAACGATAGGCTAAGACGACCTTGTCACTAATCTCGTCCTTGTACTCATCTTTCTCCCGGCTACAGTGCAGCGGCGACTGTCATTGTTTTATTTGGACAGAATCAGCGGCACTACAATGTCAGCCACGGTTCCAATGGTCGCTGACGTTGAAAAACCGCGCTGCCCTCTGATATCAAAGCGGACATTTGTTTCGGTAAAAGTCCTGTCAGCCTTACCCCGCCAATCAGATAAGGCGGTGACATTTGGTGTTGAGGAAGTCCCGGCTCAGTCATCGTCCAAGTTAACTTGGCAAAACAGGTCCGGGATGCTGAACGTGGTATCAAACATGACCCCGAGCGATCCAACACTGTTTTAGAACTGTGGCCGCCTCCCGGTTCGATTTAGTGAAACTCCACGGTGACAGGAAGCCAGGTGTACCCCTCGGGTCGACACCCTCCCTTTCCACCCACCCACCGACCCCACCTCCGCCAAACGCCGGTTTGTTCCAATCGTGTATACAGAATATAGATATATGTGCGGCGTGCGTCCACCTGGCCGCTCTGTGGCAACAACCGTAACACGTCCGTATACAACAGCACACACGGCGTTCGCAATGCACTTCACAACCGGCCTCTGCCGCTGACCATACCCGTGGCGTCCATCCTGGGCTGACAAGTGGCCGCCGTCCGTCCTGGGCTGACAAGTGGCCGCTGACCGTGCTGGGCTGACCAGTGACCACTGACCGTACCCGTGGCATACGCCGACCGTCCTGGGCTGACCAGTGGCCGCTGACCGCGCCGGTCACGGTCGTGATGACCACTGGTCCGAAGGATGACCGCTGACCGTCTCCACGACGACGACGAGATAGTGGCAGACGTGAACGAACAGACAACAATACTTATTCCATAACTGCTGAGTTTAAAACACATGCAACAAAAACAATGATCAAGAAGTAGACATTCACAAAATGTATCGGAGTTGGTCCGACAGATTCGTGAATCAGGTACTTCCTTGCTGTTATGAGTTGCATGCATAAAAATCGCTCAATTATGAAACATGCTTTCGTTGAATGGGTTCACATCTGCATCACACAAGTCCGCCTCGACCAGAGACGCTCCACAGTCCAACGTTATTAACATGGCCCTGATGTAACTGTGGTCCTGGGGAAACACGACCATGACCAGCGCCTCTGGCATAGCCGGATCTCTCCGGGCAAATCCGGCTTGCCCCGGACACAGTCGGAACGTTCCGGACACAGCCGGACTGCTCCGGTAACAGCCAGGGCGGTCCGGCCCAGGTCAGATCGCTCCCCACTCGGCGCAGTGTAGGCCCGATCTCCCGCTCCGCAGCCCGTCCCGCGCAGCGCGCACCGCGGGCCGAGACAGCGGTCACCCGCCGTGGCCAGCCTGGCTTCACAGCCCGGCCCCGCAGAGACGCGCGCCACCTCCGGGGTCAGCGGAGAGCGCGGCGGGTCAGCAGCGCTCCGGCGCGCACCCGCACAGATATTCCCCATCACAGTGCAACAGCGTATCGCCTCATTACTCGTCGCTCTCAAGCTGCTTACGGCGCCGCGGACCAGACATAGCTTAACGACTAACGTAAGAATATATCCGAACATATCGAATGTACTCGCTTAAAGTCGCATGCATCTTCACTATTTTTTAAGTTCAATGCTCAAGTACATCGCTCACGACGAGCTAAATGAAAACTGAAATACAAAGAAACCTACCGAACAGAATGGCTGTCCAAATCCGCTGAGATAATCATCGCTACATCTAGTGGCGGCGACAGAACTCTTAGTACAGTAAACGGTCGCCAGGGTAAACAACCTTCAGCCCGTCTGCGATCACAGTTGGCAGCTTGCCACACGCGAGGGCACCGGCACCGATAAAACGAGGGAGGGGGACCACGGCTATCTGACAGCGAGCAGACATCACAAGTAACAACACAGTCTTAAATAGACACCAGCAAGCGACGTCGGGCGGGGAAGAGCCACTGAATGAACGGGAAACTCCGACATGAACACATTGGAGACGCAGGTGCCGGGCTAAAACGGAAACAACAAGTCTCCTTTCTTCCGCGTGGCTGCGGTACGTACTCTCACCTCTAAAAACAAACACCCACCGCACAACGAACTAAAAACGCAAATGGGATACGTGATGATCTAAGATGGAAACACAAAGCACATGATATTGGCTGCAACAAGAAGTCCGTAGTACGACGTTCACAGACAGTTTACAACAGTACAATTGACGACAGCGTTACGCTAATGACCATCGCCGGCAGCGCGACTGCCGCCGCCGCGCGGACCCTCGCCCGCGACACATCACAGGTAAGCACACTGTGGGTAAACGATTGGGGAGCCGCCGCGCCCCCGACCCGCCACCGTCGTGCCTCCGGCCGTGACAGACAGCGCGCCCGAGTCGCGAGTCGCGGACTCCGAGCCGTGACTCGGCGCCCGCCCAACTGGACGTCCTTAGCCGGGCTCGCCGTGCGGGGGGAACGAGTCGGTACTGATGGAGCGGCCTGTCTCGTAGCTGATCAGCACGTGTTTCACGTACTCCTGCAGGTCTCCGGCCACGCTGACCTCTGTCGGAGGGACGGGAACGTCAGCGACAGCGACCGACCGCGCCGGGCTCCGCACAGGTCGACAGTGGTGCCCTCTACACAGAGTCTCAACTCCTAGACAATGAGGGGAGGCTTCCTCTAGATCCAGCCTGTCATCAAGTGATTGCTCAAAAGCTAGTACACCAATGTGGTACATTAACGTCAGCTGTTTTTAAGAAAGTCTGTCTGAGTAGCACACACTTCATGTATAAGCTTTAAAGTGACCATCCCACCTTAACATTAGTTTTGAGTTGAAATAGCCAAATTGGTGGCCATGGCCTGCAAATACCGGTTTGGGCACTCACAACATCGAAAAATGCTTCAATTCGGAGATATGGAATTTCAAACTTGCAGTTTTCGGATTCTAAGGGGCTAATGCATTGGGATGCCCCCTTAGAATTTGTGACGTCAGCGGTGATCTAACGATTTTAAAACGTTATACTAACATCTTTGTGAAGCAGTGGTGGTATATGCTATTTGCGCGCAACATCTGCCGCAAACGCCGCACTTTCAAAATGAAGTCGCTAGAAACAGCGGAGATCCCGAAAAAGTAAACAAAAGTAAAAGTCTAGTATCTTGAAAACCGGTGAATATTTTTGGGTGAAATTTGGTAGATATTCGTTTTTGCTCTTTCTGAACCAAGCGACATCACTTTCATGCCAATTCATTAACTTTTTTGAAGGTGGGAGGGTCCCTTTAACCAAAACATAACGAAATGGAAAACTCTCAATTATCGGAACAGAGTGTACGACTTAGAAGCACGTGTTGATCTGCATATAATCACTATTTGTTGTTAGTTTATAAAGAGAAAGTGACATGTGAAACTTTTCCCATTTGGATGTCAACAAAATTGTGCCAAGAGCTTGAAACTGGTCGTCTAAGGATTCTACACTTACTGGATGCTTGTCTGCAGACTTTGTCAATCATGTGGCTGGCGTCCTCGGGTCGAACTTGGGACACCCCTGGCAGAACTCTGGCTCGAAGGAGGTGGCCGACCTCCCTCAGAGCGTTACTTAGACGCCCTGGACACAGACAGAACACAGTAGTGTCAGATAGGCTGACAAAACAATACATTCAACTGTGGACGGCCTGTCCAATTCGATCGATGACGGAGAAAGATCGGGAGCTGAGAGAAAAGAGACGGAAGATCGAGATGTAGATGGAACTACCGAGGCAAAGGTAGAACAATCGATAAGGTGAGAGAGACTTTGAGGGACTGGAGACACAGACGGTGGAAACTTAATTTACGTCTATTATTAGCTGTCAGAGGTCAGCCCAAAGTACTACCCGCACAAAAGGTGTCGTCAGCCCTGACGCAATACCCACGGTGACTAGCAATACCATCGTTGAAGTCAACCGCCAGTGCGAAGCAAGGAAAGTTCATTCAGCGGGTCAATATTTTTTTCCGACAAGTACAGTTGTGTACAAGTACAGTTGTACAATTATGCTAAAACAAATTAATCTGTACACTGCGCAATTGGTCGTTACTTACTATGCTCTTCATTGAGGCCGGATAGTTGAATTTTGTTGGCTTCGTGCTGCGCCTTCTTCTTCAGTCGACAAACTCTGCAACAGCAAATTACAAAACACAATCAAATAGAGAACAAAAAGTAATCCGGATTCGATCACGAAGACAAAAGCCTCCCAAAGAAAACAAAAACGTTATCATCGAGTGGAGACTCAAAAGAGAATATTGCACATTGCCCACTAAATCCACATGTGTGGCGTCCCGAGCTTACCTGGAGGCCAGTTTGTTTTTCTCCTTGCGGGAGGTGGGCCGCGCGCTGAAGGGCAGCTCCGAGATGGGCGTCATGTCGGTGATGAGGCGGTTCAGCTTCTCCAGGTCCCCGCGAATCAGCAGCAGTTTGCGCGGACTGGGCGTCAGGTCGTTACCGTCTCCCCGCCTCGCCTTACCACTGTCGGTACGCGGTGCTCAGTTAGATATCAGGCTGTCTAATGCCGACATTAAACAATAACAGTCTCACGACAGATATGACAGGTTGAAATGTGCTTTGTGCGCCATTCAGTCCACCAGCGACTGACCAGTCACCAGCCCACGTTGTACCCACCCGAATCAACATTACGTCCCTCGCTCCATTACTCAATGGTCAGGCTCTAGCCCTCCCCATCTCGCAAAACAGTACGACAATACGGCTGTGTTTGACGCCGTACCTGTGTTTGATCATTGATGTCGTACCTGTGCTTGATGCCCTCGATGTGGAAGTTGCTGGAGAAGACGGGGTCGACCGCCTGCCGCACGTGGTACGGGTCGGCCATGTCGGGTGACAGCTGTAGCCGGGCGCCCTTGGGCCCCTTGGCCTGCACGTTGTACTGCCAGAAGTAGCGGTCCCGGCGGCTCAGCGACGAGCCCAGACTCTCGTCATCACCGATGTTGGAGCCTGTCGACGGGGGGGGGGGGGCGTCAGACTGGTAGGTGATTTTAGCTCACTGCTGTTCTCGAAAAGGTCAAAGGAAAGAACACAACGGAAAGTAAAGGATAGTCCCCAGTCGAGCTGACAATGATACAGTTGGGAAGGGAGCTACTTTGACGAGTTCACCTTATTCATTGAGCTGAAATGTCTTCCAGTTATGCGACCTCACCTTGGCCAATGCTACCAATCTGGCTGGTCTGGCTCCAACAGTGCAAACCTTTGACGAAGCCCTGCGATGGCTACCAAACGTTTATAACGCTGGCTGTTTAGATATGTGAACGACCTATTCAGGATGTCAGCCTGAGCTACTCCGCCAATAACACCCAGTTCAGAGAAAGGCACCAGCGTTCCGACTGGCTGTGAATTCAGCGAACATCCAACTGTGAACAGCTCTGGCATAGTTGCGGTCGCTGACACCGAGAAGACGGGATCCCAGAGGTTTACGTGCCTAGTTTTGAACGGCTGCCACGATGACTGCCTTCCATGTCAGACACAGGTGACGACTCATTTACCGGGAAATAATCTAAGGTTGCTATTTTATGCTTCCATTGACTAGGTCCAGAGGAGCCTTCTCTGAGTGATATCCCAGCACCCATGGCATGCCTTGAATACCTGGCATGCCAGGAAAATCGCTATCATTTCCGCCGCTCTTTTGAGCTGTGTGTTCAATGGCCAGCGGCTCAGAAGAACCGCCAGCACTGCGCCTCCCTCTGCAAAACTCGCCACCAGGCCGGGTTAAATCCGGACCGGATGGCATGGATTGAAGTAGCTCGACCAGGCCGCAGGCTAAATAAAGCGCCGAGCAATCACGGCGGCGCGGCGGCCGGCGCCGACGGCGAATGGGGCAAGTTCGCAGTTAGCCCGGCGCCGGAGAACGAACCGGGCGGAGCACTCCGGAACAGTAAGACGGCCCGGTGTCGATAGGTGAAACTCTTACACAGGTCAGCTTTGTTTTTATCTTTCCACCCTTCCGCCAATCGTCACAGATTAGATACTTATCAGCCCCGTTATCGCCCGTCTCACATATCCAAATCGAATTTGTAGGCTTTGGGACACTCCTTCATATCCTCAGAATACTCTCAACTATTTTAATAGTTGCCGTTTTGCAGCTGTTTCATTCCTGCCCCGCGCCACCACCGTGTCCGCCGCGCCGTGCATTGTCTCACCTGCGTCACTATCGCTGTCCGAGTCGTGATCGTCGTGAGAGTCGGCGCCGTCATCTCCGTACGACCCGTACGAGCCAGGACTGAGAATGCCACCTGCCGTTGGATGGCACCGGTACGGGGTCAATGGCGCGTATACACGGGTCATGGGCCGATAGAACGGTGACAATGTTCAATTCGATAAAATTACACGTATTTCACTTTTGACGGACTGTAGCCTCGACAGGTTAGAACATGTTCTTACGCAGGAAGACATACAGCGAATAGGCAGACTTGGCAGTCTTTCAGGGTAAGGGAAGCCAAAACATGCTGACATCACAATGCAAATAGTAGAATCGCGTAGAATCACGTCCTATCGTCTGATTAAAATAGCGTGCCAAACAGGTGTGTTAACGCTCCAGGGCCTGCCATTTCGTTGAACTGTTTCCACCAGAGACCAGGATCTGGCCGCATACAGTGTTTACACCCCCAGGGATTATACTAACCGCGCTATGGTCGCTCGGCTCGTGACTCACCTGATAGAGACGACCCCGATCCGCGAATCTCCTCGCGTCGGCCGAACCCGGTCGGCGTCGGCACCGGCACGTCGCCGCAGGGCACCGAGCTGCTGAGGCGGCTCGAGAGGCCGCCGGGACCGCCGGCGATGGGCGCCGAGCCGCCGCCGGCCGTCAGCAGGGCCTGCAGCGTGCCGCGCCGGCCGCCCGGGTAGCTCGGCAGCAGCGGGTCGAACCTGCTGGCCGGCGACGCCGCGCCGCCCGCCGACCACTCGCAGCCGCCGGCCGGCGACCAGTCGCACTTGAACGACCAGTCGGGCGCCTCCGTCTTGACGGCGGGCGGCGGCGGCGCCGTCGACTGACCCCCCATCGGCTCCAGCTCCAGCTCGTGTAGGTCGTCGCCGGCGTTGAGCTCGGTCAGCGTCGGCCCGGGCAGCAGCTCGCTCACCTCGACGCCCTCGAAAATGTCGTCGTCGATCTGGAAGTGCTGCAGGTTGCGCGCCAGCTCTGGCTCGTGGCTGCCCACGTGCCAGCTGCCCGGGCTGGGGCTGGAGGCGAACTCGCCGTGGGACGGCTGGTAGGAGGAGGCGGCGCCGGCCGACGAGCCGAGCTCCACGGCCGGCCGATCGGCGCGCCGCTCGGTGAACTCGGGCCGGCAGTAGGGCCACTGCGGCCGGCCCGGGATCGGCACGCCGACCGTGTAGCTCTGCGGGTCGTCGGACGTGAAGGGCTCGTCACCCTTCTCCAGGCCGCCGTCCCCCTGTCGCGAACTGAACGCGCCGCTCTGCGCCATGCCCACACCCATCGCTCGGTTTATCTGCGGAGCAGCAGAACAGTAATCAGACGACACGTATGCATGCACATATATCGCACGCCTGACTAGATAGCAGCAGCATGAATCAATGAAATGCAGTGAAACGTGAGCGAACTTTATATCTGATGAAATGGTTGGGCAACGCCATGCAAATGATGGAATGGCTGAGCAAGTAATTGAATTTATAAATGAAAGCAAGTCCTGCTGCGAAATACCTGGGCGAACTTCAAAGACAGGAACAGTAAATTTAGAACGCGATTTTTACAAGTATTACGTAAGATATGCAGAGAACAAGCCAATATGATTTTAATGCGCCCCAGGCTAGAAACATATCTGCTTTCTCATCGAAGAGTGGAAACTGCATTTGATCATTTGTGTAGTTCCAGTCTTCACCTTCGTATAAGCATTACAGATTCAACGTGCAATCCAACTAGTGAGCTGATGAAACTCCTTGATGAGAGGGACATCTCATTAGTGAGACGGTGAAACTCTATTGGCTTATCTAAGCAACTACACTTACAAAAAGAAGCACGCACAGATGCGAAATAATATGAGAACTTCTCTAGCAGAAACAGTAACTTTGGTACACGACTTTGGAAGTATTACGTAAGGTGGGCAGAACAATGATCTGACGACTCACCGGAGGCAGGTGAAGTTTCCAGAACTAACCAGTGAGCCCGTGGAGCTCACTGACCCCGGCGACAACTCAACAGTGAGCCGGCTGAGCTCTATCAACTCACCATTGAGTCGGTGGAGCTCTGACAACTCACCAGCGAGCCGCTGAGGCACTGGGAACTCACCAGTGAGCTATGAAGCTCTAGTAACTCACCAGCGAGCCGGTGAGGCTGTGGAAACTCACCAGTGAGCTCGGTGAGACTGTGGTAACTCACCAGTGAGTTCGGTGAGACTGTGGTAACTCAACAGTGAGCCGGTGAGGCTGTGGTAACTCACCAGTGAGCTCGGTGAGGCTGTGGTAACTCACCAGTGAGCCGGTGAGCGGCAAGGAGCCGGACGTCGGGTGGTCGCCGGGGGCCGGAGCCGAGGCCCACGCCAGCCGGCGACTCGGAGTGTCGAACTCCAGCGTGCTGGTTAGAGCGACCGCCTGTGGGGGCAGTCAAGAGTGTCAGACGCGGATTTGGACACACCCGCGTCCCGCGGCACACGGTATACAGACACTGTAACAGCGCGGCCCCGTGTGGCGCCGGGAGTGTGCCGCTATAACAAACACAGACAGTTGTCCCGCGGCTCATCCATGCCACACTTTGATGCTGGGTAATGGGAGAAAACTAGGCTAAAACAACAGCTCGGGACTAAGCCAGCTTAGGTTCGGGCCAAAAGAACAACCCCAAACGGCCTTTTCCTTCGGAGAAACATAAGCGCGCACTGCTCCGAGAACCTGGCCTGTGGGGCGACCAGGCTGGTGACAACGACCTTCCGAGGCAGCTGTGTCCTCCCGGGCACGGTCCAGCGGGGCGCCGGCACGGGAGCGCCGAGGGCGGCTGCACCCCGCCCGTACACTGTGAGATCGGGTGCATGTGTACCCGCCGGGCGAGCCTTCTCCGCCGCTCCGGGCAGCGTCCCACGGCCGGCTGGCACCGAGCCGACCTGAGTGACGTCAGCGCGGGCCGCTCTGGCAGCCGGCACAGAGACCCAGCGGCCGCCAGAGCTGGGCAGCTGTCACCGAACCGGCGGCACCTCATCATCGCTCACCGCGGCCAGCGCTGCACATCACTCGCCAGCCGGCGAGCCACGGCAAAATGAGGCGGCCGAAATGCGTCGGGATAATGATAATCGGGGCGCGAGGGCGTCAAATGCCGAACAAAATGAGCTGCCGAGCACGATTTGTTTAAGTCCCCTTTCTGTTGTAGGTGAAAAGCTGCTTTTTAATATAACATGCATTGCAAGCACTTGGTCCTGTGCCAGCATGGATGACTGTCACGAAGTCGCGGAGTGAGCCAGCGGAAACGTTCCACCTTTTTGCCTTCGGCCGACCCTCAGTCCCGAGTCCGGAAATAACTGGTTAGCAGGCTCCTTATCATTGAAACCAGGGTACAGTGGGGCTCACTATAGCCTGCTAACTACCGGAAATATAGCGGCTTGCAAATCGCAGTTCTGCAACAAAGTAAGCGGACGGACTTTCAATGCAGTAAAAAACAATGCTCGATACGATTCAAACAATATAAGCGATGGCGTTGCAGATCGCGCTTCTGCAGTTCAGTGAATGAATGGAATTCGACTGAGCAAAAAGCCAGTTCGCGCTGTTTGATTCGCACCAAGAAATCAATGTCCAAACTCTATGTCACAAAGTGAAGTCAGCAAGGCTAGGATATTTTGAAGTGCAATGTCCGCCTAATTGCTGACCGATGTGCAAATCCATTCACCAAACATCTAACTGCCAACGCCGAATATCAAAAGACATAAGACGCATCAGTGACCGGTGATCAAGCTCCGCTTGGCAGAGACCTCCACAACTAATCAAGACTGTCGGAAAGAAGGAAAGTGTATTTATAGATGGATTTATGTAGTTAGGAAAGCATTGTTGTGGACACCATCCGCACATAGTTATTTAGGACCAGTAAAACGCCTTTTGGGGCGAAGAACGAGCGAGCGAGATAGTGAGCCCTGCAGGCTGCACGTGCGGAAGGGCGAGAGGGTACTTCCAACGGGCTTGCGCAAAGCACCCTTCTAACCGGTCGCTAGCGGTGTACCAAATTTGAACGCAATCGGCCCAGCCGTTCCTGAGATCTGGAAGCGGCATTCTGCACGTGCGCACGTGAAAACGGGGTCCAAACTGACTTTTGCACGGCACCCTACTAACTGGTCCCCAACCGTGTACCAAATTTGAGCGCAATCGGCCCAGCCGTTCTCGAGATCTGGAAGCGCCCCCTGCACGTGCGCACGTGCAGTAGCACCTTAACCGCAACACATGGGAATGCACTGCCTGGTGGGTGCCTACCTGTATGCCAAGTTTCAGCGAAATCGCCCCAGTAATTACCGAGTTATTAAAATGGGAACAAATTTGACACCTCTATTGTTGTATTTTGCACGTGCACTGGGGGTGACCCACAGGCATCGAGAGTATCCTATTTTTGGTAGAAGGGATGCTGCTACCCTACAAAAAGTACCGCAAGTCAATCGCCCAAGCGGCTGCTGAGATATGAGCCTCTCAAAATCACTACTTTTGCAAAACAGCTTGAACACCCTTGACTTTTCACGTGGCCGGTGGCACGTGCCACGACGGTCACTGAGATGTATCAAAAGTAGTCAATTACGGGGTAGAAGGGATGGGGCTACCCAGCAAAAAAGACCGCAGGCCAATCGGTCCAGCGGTTGCTGAGATATAAGCCTCTCAAAAGCGTTACAGGCCGGGCCGGGCCGGGCCGGGCCGCTCATACTGAGATTTTTCCGTTATATTGAAAAGACTCGCTTCGCTCGCTGCGCTCGCTCGCTCGTAATAAAAGTACGAAACGGCTACTGCAATCGGAGCGCCCTTGGACTCCAATGAACAAAGGAATGTAACCAAAATCGGTCATTCTGACCTTCGACTGCACCATTAGAATATATCCTATAGGTGAGTTTTATGGTAATAACTCCCCACTCCCTTCCCTTTCGGACCGGCCGTGGGCCGTGGAGGTTCGGAGACCCATCGGGAAACCCGCGGATAGCGGATGTTTGCCTCACTGACGTCACACTCAGTTTGGACACCCACGCGACGACATCACGTGGGCGGACCCGGTGACGTCACATGCCCAACCGGCTCCTCCTGTTGTACTACGAACAACGCCATGAACACTGATTTTATTATGCTCCTGGAAGATTAATGCGCTCATATGCGTCAGAGAAGATTCTGAGAATCGCCACTGACCAGCGTCAAGCGAATTGAAGTGACCGATTCCTGACGTTTCCTCAGAAGTTGGAACGCGGTAATAGTCCAGCAAACAGTCATAACGCGGTGATACCTTAGCTAGCTACATTCTTAATACATAGTACACACAATGTGTGTCACACATAGATGACGATGTTCGATAGGGAAAGTGTTCGAGCATCGAACGACCGTCGTTGTTTACTTCTCTATAACATTAACCGTTTATATCCTTCACACATGCATATGTCAGGCATACGTCATCACTTTAAACACACCCTCATGTCAGGTCCCCATCGTGCCGTCTTTCAGGAGTGAGGCATATTCCTTAGCTCTATCGACCCTAACCGCCTTTGATGGCACGAGCGTGACACCGGGTCATAACGGTGGACCTCGCGCAGCGCCACCCCTGCCGTGAGGCCCGTTCGAGAGGTAGGGTGGCAGGCAGAGAGGGGCAGGGTGGCCTCAGGCCTATGGGGAAGGGACAGGGTGGTTTTCAAGAAGCTCAGGTCGGCAATGAAGGAACAGGGTGGAAGGTAGGGAGCAGCCGCGGGCAGGGTGCCCTTAGGCCGGCAGAAGAGCACGAGTTGTGATGGGTAGGAACTTAGGATTCCTCGTCTCACTCTGGACACCGATCGATTGACCCTGGCCACCAATTACCAGTAATCGATCGATACATCGGGTCATCATCGCTAGGATCGGAGGCCGTTCTCAACAGAGGCTTCCAATTGGGTTAGACCCTGCAAATGCGGACGACAGTTTAGGTCTCTCAGGTCATAATGCATAGGTATTTCGATATTGTGACATGCCTTAATGCATTGAAGTTCGCATGGAAAATAGAGTGCGGGATTCCGGAGCATCGCTTCCCGGACAATTGTCACAATAACTTGCTAAAATTCATTGTCCTCCACGAAGCTTCAATTACTTATCAACTCGCCAAAATAGACGATTTCAAAACAAGGCTGAAAGTTGGCACCTCCGACCGGCAGTGCTCGACCAGTGACCTCGGGGTGACCTGGCCGCCCTGGTTGCGCCACCAGCCACCCAGTCCGCGGCCCACCGCCGCGCCGGTTGGGCCGGGGCTCCCGCGCGGCCCGACCGATCCACGGTCACTCACCATATCCGCTGTGCCCCCCCCCCCCCTCCACCGAGCGCTTGTCGTACAGAAGTGCGTCATCAGCCAACCCGAATTTGCTGAATGGGGCCGAATGACGTCACTGCTGACGTCACGGATCGTCCGGGGAATCCCGGGCTGGGCGGCGATACGGCGCAGTAGCGCGCCCCGCCCCCTTTCCCGAACCGTCGGCGGTGGGCGGCCGGCCGCGGCCGGTCGGACGGCCACGGCCGCCGCACGTGCCCGCCCCACGGCCAAGGACACCGCCACCGCTCGCCACTAGGACACGCCAACCGCCCGACCGCCACGCTGGATATCTGATGAAAGGAAGGCCTTTTCTGGTTTTCAGATCGCCAGTTCCGGGAAAATCACGGCATTCCGCGAGTGTCAGCGACGGGTCTCGTGATTCCGAGTTGTGTTCAGGTGAAACGACCCACTTCTGAGCGCGACTGACGTCAGCAGTTGCGGCCAACTACTTTCCTCTTGGCTGAATCTCGATCAGCCGGCCCCTCGCCGAGCGCCGAGACGGTTCGATGCAGGGTGGAGAACCGGTCTGAAGCGGTATGTAGGGGGCCCCTACCACGGAATGAAGGCCACATGCCTGCGGGCCACCGGACGCGGCACGGACGAGGTTCTGTTCGGATGCTCCAGAGTGACCTTCATCTGAGCTGACCTCTGTCAAGTGACCTGAGTAAGTACCGGAAGGAGGCGGCGGCTTCCAGTCACCGGGAAGCGCCTGTGAGTGGAAGGTGTCGTCACGACACATCCCGGCACGATCCAATTACGTAAGAGGCGCGTTCAATTGGCCGGGTGCCAAGTGCCGCGTGCCGTGCCGCCGGCCTCTTCTGACCTTGGTTGGTCGCGCTGTCAACGACCGCGGCAAAAAGGTCGTCCCGGCAAAACACGGCCCACCCCCGGGAGAAGGGGAGGGGGGACACTGGGAAGCGGTCTTTGTTCCACCGCCCGGCCCGGCGAGCTTCTGGTCTGCACCGTGCCGCTGCACAAGAACACCGCGACTCACAGAGCGCTGCGAGCTGCGGCAGCTCACCGCACCGGGGCTGCGAGCTGGGACAGCGGGCCGCTCACAGCCCGCTGCGAGCTGCGGCAGCTCACCGTGCTGAGCTGCGAGCTGAGGCAGCTCACCGTACCGGCCTGCGAGTTGGGGCGGCTCACAGCTCGCTGCGAACTGGCAGCTCACCGTAGCCGGGCCGCGAGCTGTGACAGCAGCTCACCGTGCCGGGCTGCGAGCTGCGGCAGCTCGCCGGGTGGGGGGTAGCGGCCGGCTGGGTGGTGAGTGGTCATACAGCGGTGAAGGTCGTCCCAGCATCTCGCGGCGGCCAGCAGATGGCTCTGCCAGCGCCGCCCTACAGCTGTAAATACCAACTTCTACATAGAGCCTGGCCTCGCATCAGACAGTCTCACCATCCAATAGCGGCAGCACACTGCGACAGCCGACAGTCTGCAGCAGATCAGCCTCACAAAGAATATATACGCGCAGCACCGGAAACCAAGGACAGGACATCTTACTTACGATACGGCATGAAATTGCCTCCCAGGCATTTAAACTGACAATCACTCAGGCAATGCAAAGTAGCTACGGTTGCGACACGCAGTGAAGTAGACCAGGCCGTGCAGAAATTATATAACACGAACAGCGGAGCTGCTCGCTGAGGCGCAGCACTCTGCAGCACCAATCCGGGCCACGACAGCGCGCGATGGGCCACGCAGCACGCACGTCGCACACACACACACGGCCCGTTACACAGCGCCGGACGGGGCAGCAGCGGGACCTCACCGAGTTGCAGCACAGGCCGGCCCAGGTCAGAGGACAATGCCCGCTGCAGAGGCGGCCGCGGCCGCCGGCGCCGGCGCGCTGCTCCGGCCGGCCGCTCGGCGCCGCCCGGCCGCACCACCAAAACAAACCGAGCTGGCGTCCAAGGTCAGCCGAGCGGCGGCCGGCGCCACGTGACTCACCCAGCTGACGTCCGCCGAGCTGAGCTGACGTCAGCCGGCGAGCTGCGGCAGCGGGCGGCCGGCCGGGCTGCGGCAGCGGAGCGGCGGCCAGGCTCCGACCGGCACCGGAGGGCCGCCGCTGGCCGGCCGGGTGGGAGTTTTCCAACCAGGCACCGGCCGGCGGAGTACCCTTCCCGCTAGCACTGCGCTGCAGAAATTCCGAGAACGGCCGCTCCGCCGCGTTGCGCAACCGCGGGCTACGTCACGACCCTGACTTGCAGAAGAGCGGAACGATTCGGAGACCAAGCCCGCGGGTGCGTCACGTATGACTGTATGGGTGGGGGCTGTATGTTTGTGTGCAATCCAGCCGAGGAGCGCAGAAAGACCCGGAGGTGAGGCGGTATCGTCTTACGGGAATCGCGGTGACGAATCGTCAGTTGATATACAAGATGTTTTAATGAGGGTCTCCACAGAACATATTAGCCTTATTACGAAACGGAACAGGCCGACGAGATAAGAGCGTGGGCGAGGCTGAGAGAACAGTCGGTACAGAGCGGCAGTAAGGCCGTGTGGAAAAGTACAGAACAAAGTTATGGGACTACGCTGCATGATTGGAAGGATTTCGCTATTGTTGAATTACCTTCACTTACATCAGGTATAATGTGAATTAACATATTGATATTACGATTTCATACTTATGCGCTACTTTGCAAATGCAATAAGTATACGAAACTGCATAATGTGGGGTTTAGAGTAGACAAACCAGCATACGTCTTAGGTCCAATTTTTTCTACCTTTAGGGATGCTCTCACAGCCTTTTGGAGGGCTTGTGACGTATTGACCCCTTGGATCACTCGCGATGCTTCCAATGTAAATACGACAAAGATGACACCAGGCGTTCTGTCCCTTTGTGAGGAAACCCATATTGCACAATATACACTAGGGTGTTTCACTTTTCACTTTTTTCTCAGATTGTCTCTCCTCGATCGAATTCCCATTATTTCATCTTTTTAATCAAATTTGGTGGCAATTATTCGATTTTAAACTCGATTCTAAACGTCGCGATAATTCGCCAAAGTTTTCAATTTTTGTGCCGTTCGGCGTTGAAGTCACCGATGTTAGAGCAATTGCAAGTAGGGCACTAACACCAAGAAAATACGGCCGTGCAAGAGGTGGTATTAACCGGTATTTTATGACACTGTGAAGGTTGAATATGGTACCTGCGCTTCCATAAAAGTGTCGTCGCATATTCTGGTGCTCAGATTAACATACACAGACATAACTCATTATTCAGGACACGACAACTTAACAGTAAGCAAAACACTGGTACGTCAGTGACGGCAAAACATGTATTTCGGTACCGGGCCTTAACACCGTTTCTCATCGAACCCAGTCACAGGGTAGCCAGGGCTGCCTTTGTCATGTGTGGCACTGCACGCCTGTGCCTCTCCACAGCCTGCAGAAGCCACTGGAATTGGTCCTGCCCCTTCACATGCTGAGCGAATGTTTTCAGAAGAGCGATGCCCCTCTCCGCGGTGTCGTTCACGACTTTCACTGTTTTCACGAATTCCTTGCATAGGATGTACGCCTCGTGACCTTCCCACTCCCCAGGAGGCTTCGTCATCCACTCGTGGTCGACTCCCATCAGGTCAAACATCAGCCACGACGACGTGGTCACCAATTCTGACAGGCTGGTGGACTCATCCAGTGCGACCGATGGTGTCTGATCAGGCGCCGCGGAGCACGAGTTTGCGAGCAGGTTGACACATATGGCCTCCTTCTCCTCTTCTGTGACACGGCTGCTAAAGAGGCTGAATACTACAACTGATGGCTGCAGATACCACAAATGGCGCCGCATCACAGCGAGAGCAGCGTTCGCCACTGGTTGGTCCAACTGCCTATACCGCACCAGGCTACGGTACAGGTTGAGGTCGTTAGCGGGGGCGTCCTCTGCAACAGGGGCCCGCAGCCACGCGACGACATAGAAGAGGAGCAGGAACTGAGCCATCCGCTGCACCTTCTCCTGCATTGGCTCATCGTACTCCAGCTGGTCCGCGAACAAGAACATCTTGATGCTGTACAGTGTACAGCATCAAGTGTACAGCATCAAGTGTACAGCATCAAGTGTACAGCATCAAGTGTACAGCATCAAGATGTTCTTGTTCGCGGACCAGCTGGAGTACGATGAGCCAATGCAGGAGAAGGTGCAGCGGATGGCTCAGTTCCTGCTCCTCTTCTATGTCGTCGCGTGGCTGCGGGCCCCTGTTGCAGAGGACGCCCCCGCTAACGACCTCAACCTGTACCGTAGCCTGGTGCGGTATAGGCAGTTGGACCAACCAGTGGCGAACGCTGCTCTCGCTGTGATGCGGCGCCATTTGTGGTACCTGCAGCCATCAGTTGTAGTATTCAGCCTCTTTAGCAGCCGTGTCACAGAAGAGGAGAAGGAGGCCATACGTGTCAACCTGCTCGCAAACTCGTGCTCCGCGGCGCCTGATCAGACACCATCGGTCGCACTGGATGAGTCCACCAGCCTGTCAGAATTGGTGACCACGTCGTCGTGGCTGATGTTTGACCTGATGGGAGTCGACCACGAGTGGATGACGAAGCCTCCTGGGGAGTGGGAAGGTCACGAGGCGTACATCCTATGCAAGGAATTCGTGAAAACAGTGAAAGTCGTGAACGACACCGCGGAGAGGGGCATCGCTCTTCTGAAAACATTCGCTCAGCATGTGAAGGGGCAGGACCAATTCCAGTGGCTTCTGCAGGCTGTGGAGAGGCACAGGCGTGCAGTGCCACACATGACAAAGGCAGCCCTGGCTACCCTGTGACTGGGTTCGATGAGAAACGGTGTTGAGGCCCGGTACCGAAATACATGTTTTGCCGTCACTGACGTACCAGTGTTTTGCTTACTGTTAAGTTGTCGTGTCCTGAATAATGAGTTATGTCTGTGTATGTTAATCTGAGCACCAGAATATGCGACGACACTTTTATGGAAGCGCAGGTACCATATTCAACCTTCACAGTGTCATAAAATACCGGTTAATACCACCTCTTGCACGGCCGTATTTTCTTGGTGTTAGTGCCCTACTTGCAATTGCTCTAACATCGGTGACTTCAACGCCGAACGGCACAAAAATTGAAAACTTTGGCGAATTATCGCGACGTTTAGAATCGAGTTTAAAATCGAATAATTGCCACCAAATTTTATTAAAAAGATGAAATAATGGGAATCCGATCGAGGAGAGACAATCTGAGAAAAAAAGTGAAAAGTGAAACACCCTAATATACACCCCTAAATGGGCGTTGTTGGGGCGCTGTGTTATTAAAAATGCCACCGCTCGTCCAGCCAATGCGGGGTACCCCCGACATTTACAGAACATCTCTTCGGGAAGTCCACACGCTATTTACTATCTCCGGTACAACGGAGAGGCACCGCAGCACAGCCGCAGAGGGGAGCTGTCAGGTGGAGGGAGGGCAGGTTGGGAAACTGAACCGCAGAGGCGTCAACGCCCTCTGTGGTCCCTGACCCTCTCATACAGCGTGACCAGATGGTCAGACCTAGGGATGCATCGCGGGGCGTGCCTCTGAGATCAGTCCCGTCCTCGCCAGCCACTGCACCGTTTGATAGAAACAGTGGAAAGGGGCGGGGCAGGCAGGGGAGCTTTGCCGCCGCTCAGTTCACCAGAGCGGCCCCGCTCACTGGATTCATCCGACGCACAGACAATGGCCATTTAGCAGTACCCCATCACACGCTACAGGTAGGATAAGCGGGAACCACCGAAATGTGTCAATAGGCACCACAAACGGTGACAATGATTTGTATCAAAATGGGTAATACACTATACGCGCACGCTCAAACTATTCCATGGATAGGAAGCATAAGCTATATCTGTGGACTTCGCTAGGTCTCTTCCAGGCCTCAATAACAGTTGGAGAGGTTTGGTCATTTGCCAAGGATGCAGGCGATTGCAAATGAGACGATTCCGCGGTCAACTTATCAGGGAGTGGCTAAACTTCAGTCGGCCTGAAGTTGATTTTGACAGCCACAGTGGGGCCAGGTCAGTGGCATTTAGTTTCATCGCCCCGGCATTCCTGTCACACCAATGTCCCTGAAATGTCAGCCGTGAACGGTGAAACCCACACTGACACCGATGAAACCAATATCATGCGGCGCTGGCGATCGAGCTCGGTCGGCATAACGGATATCATATCACCGCGGATAGCCAGGAATATCACGGCGGATAGCCAGGAGGACCAAATGGACCGACATGCACACCACAGCGGACCGCGGTCAGTCCACTGGACCCGCGCCAGGTGGTGGTCGACCGATAGCGGCGGCCCGACGCTAGACTTTGGCCCGCTGTGAGCCGCAGGCCGGTCAGTCTCTCCAAGGGACGGAGACGGGCGGGTCAGACTCGACTTTGGCCCACTGTGAGCCGCAGGCCGGCCAGTCTCCCCAAGGGACGGAGACGGACCAGACTCGACGTCGACCTCCGAGCCAGCGGCCGGCCAAGCTCCCCATCGTACGGAGCTCCACCACGGTAGGCCGCTGGTAGATCGGAGGTGTTCGGACCGGATCGGACGGGACTCCACTGTGGCGAGCCACAGGAGGTCGGGACGGTCTCCTTTGTGGTGGGTCGCTGGGACCAGGCTCCGCTGCGGTGGGTCTGCAGTGCCGCCGGAGCAGGCGCCGGGGTCAGAGGTCGGCCGTTCCGTGCCATCCGCCTCTGTCCGGTATCTGGCGCCGGACAGACGCCCCCCCCCCCTCCCTCCGAGGGGAGCAGGGGGAGTCGGTCACGTGCGTCCCGTGTTTACATTTCAGCGCAGTGTGTAACGGGCTGCCACAGCGACCTCAAGCAGACGCGACTCCAGTCTTACGGCGTCATGCACGGCAGGGCGAAGGCACGCTGCGGCCACGGTCCTTCTCCGTGGCCACCCTAACCCCCGGACCCCCCAGAGGCGTCCCCTCCCCGCCGTCCAGGCCCTGTCACGTGCCGGGAGCAGTGTAAACAAACAAGCACCGGCGTGCAGGAACCGCCTCCCTGCGGCCTTCCCACCCTGAGACCGAGGCCGAACCCAGGCAAAGGTCGTATGCAGTGATATCGACGACGGTACCAGTCAGTGAGTTCAGGATGCAGTGCAGCCGTCATTAGACCAGAGAGTGGCTGGGATGGGACCCAGATTACCGGTCAGTCACACTAACACGGCCCCCGGGGGTTCAGTTTAGTCATCAGTCACCGGAAAAAAAGACGGACAAGCTGCCAGCTCGTAACGAGTTAGCGCGGTGCTACAATGAGCTCTGCAAATAAACGCAATAAACCGAGGCCTTTGTCAGGAGCCACACAATCCACTAAGCCGGCTAACCGGCCCGGCCGCGGGGCCGCTGCGAACTAGAAAGAGAAGCCCAGCTGTCACCGCGCCTATCGGTACGGCGGCTGATATTGCAGACAGGGGCGGTCGGTAAATCGAGGTCACGGGGCAGGAGCCACACACCCGGCCCTGCAGCATATCCGGGGTGACACAAGCTTGCAGATGAACGACACATGCATGATTGTTACAGCAAATAGGTCATCCAGCTGTTACGGAAGATAAACGACTAACAGGCCGGGAAGACACATCCATCTGCTGTATGCACACACAAGTTTATCTTATGCTCATGAATAATCAATAGTTATATAATTAAAACACGGAGAGCGGGAAAGAAAAAATGGGCTGACGATCGTTGGAGGGTATTCGCTGGCCGAAAATTAGGGTCGGATGTTTAGTCCCAGCGTCTGTAAGGTCAAGCAGCTGATCTCAGCAGCCGTAAGGTAGGTTAGCTGGTGCCAGCAGCTGCCGAGTGCCGGCTCGCTTACCTTGGGTCGCCGGCCGTCCACGCAGTAATCCAGAGTCCGGTACGGCCGCTCCGTCGGGGCACACAAGTAATCCAGAGTCGTGCAGTGTTGTTCCGTCGTGTCACACAGCTCACCACACCGGCCGAGAGGCCGCGTCGGCACGTGATCCACCCACCAGTAGCACCCGCCGCCGGCGACCAGCTCCTCACAGCTCCCAGCTCAGCAGCACACTGGCGGCGCAGTATTTACTATGGCGGAGCGGCGCGCGGCGGATTGATCGAGAAGGCGTGCCGGCCGGCCGGCCAATCACAGCCGGCGGCCGGCCCGCGTCACCGAGCCGCACCAGAGGCGCATATTTAACCGGCCTGTCCTTGGCCGGCAGAGTGGCGCCACCGCCGGCCGACCTGCCGGGTCAACACACGGCCCGCCTGCAGCGGGGTCAAAACTCGGGCGGCACAACACTGGGGCGTGACATATGGGGGAGACACTCCGCGGCCTCAGCTCGGCCAGCCTCCTCAGGACAGCCTCACTGGGCTCTGAATGGGCACTTCGGGGGCCATCGAATCGAACTTGGACCGGGGACTACGACAATAAAAAGTGAAAAACATAAAACTTCGACACTGAGCTGTTCCGAGTTCTGAGCTCTGAGCTCTGAGCTATTCACCACTGGGAATGAGGCTCATGAATCATGATACCTTGCTTAGGGCCCGAACCAGTTGTGGAACGCATAAGGGTCATCACGGATCCGGAGTGGATCCACATTGCAAATGTTATTCTCCCGGGACCGCGGAACCCAGAAGTGGGTCCACGTGCCACTTCCCGGGAGCCGAGGCCACGTCCGTCCAAAGCAGGTTTATAAAGAGAAAGGGAAGGCGGCACCGGCGGCAGAAATCTCGAAAGAAATTGAAATGCACCTACCATGGCTAAAACGCATTCCTAAAAATGCATCATTATTTGTGCCGAATGATTGTTGAATCGTCAGTCAGAATATTTCCCAGTAAGAACAGAAGTCCGTTAGCAGTAGCGGCAACAAATGAATTAATTAAACAAGCCAGTCATGTTTCAAATTCTGCAGCAGGTGCCAGAGCGCTGCGGCTTGACCAGTGCTATCAACATGATGTCGTTGACGGTGCGGACAATCGGACACATCACCGCATCATAGCGGAAGCCGTGTTCGGACGTGGCCCGGCCGATGACGGTATTTCTCGGTATCGCGCAGTGTTGTGCAGCGATATACCGGTTTTATCAGACCGAGTTGCGCCATAACTCAATTGCTATCCGAGGTCAGTTTCATGGTCATGTGTCGAAACACGTTTTATATAAGACCATGCTTCCGTATTGCACAAACGGTACCTACTGAGGGGTTACATAAACAGCACTTTCATACGTCAGAGCATACGTCTGGGGGGATCTATCTACTCCGACCACTCCGACGGCATTCACGAGGTTAGGCGCGGGTGGAGTTTTCCACAGGCAAGGGCTGCTGGACTGAGACGATTAGCTGCAATACAATAACAATACGGCGTACGGATACCTAATGATTTCAGTGATTTACTTAAAGCCATTAGGGTCCTACTACAGTGCTTAGGTCTTATTAGCGGCCGATTCACACGCATGTGCTTCAAGGTGCTTAAAGACATTAGACTGCATTTTAGCAGATAACCGTATTGAAATAAAACATCGAGCAATGGGAGCCTTCTGCCACTTTAAAATGTAGACGCCAACATTTTAACATTAGCACAACTCGATAGTAGCAACACCAACAATTTCAGCATGGTCCCAAACTCACGAGCTGCGCACATCATGTTGCGATAAGGCAAAACAATCCCGGAACCGGGCTTCGATCCACAGGCCATTCCAGTGAAAACGGGAAATGGCACCACGTGTCTCAAGTGTGGAACCATGTGTCATTTCTCTGGGAACCATAGCTGGTTCACGGACGATCCGGCGGCCCAGCCTCTGTCCAAATGTGGGACGCCGCGGCCGTCGATAAACCGACGCCTCGGCGCCGGGCGGTCCGGGACGGCTGGGACCAAACACTGCCCCGTCGGACGCCCATGGGTGGGCGCTCTGCTGATGGCTGTGGGACGGGGGGGGGGGGGGCTGTGATGATAACACAGATCTGATGATACCTCGGCCGGCCGGCTGCAGTGCCACAATGACACCGCTGTGACTGAGATGACACTGACACAGGGTGTAGCTGACATGGCACTGACACAGGGTGTAACTGACATGACACCTCGGTTGTAATGACCCGACAGCAGCGTCAACCGCGGAACGTTCGGCTGTGTGCCATTGAAAGTACATATGTACATATACAGTATACCCTGTAGTGCAAACGCTGTGCTTGATGGATGTGTGAGATAGCACGGCGTCGAGTACCCAGAAGTACCGCGGACAAACGAGACAGCAGCGGTCAATGACCTTTCTTTGTGGAAGCCAGAGACATGACAGATGTAAGTATGCATACTGTATGCTCGTATGTGTAGAAAATTACACACTGTTGGAAATTGGAATACATCATGCAGATGGTAATGCAACAATTAAAGGATGGTGCATTATGTCGCTCAATGTTCGGCATTTTAAACATCGGAAAGTTCCGAAGAAAAAAGTCAATTAGACATCGAAAACCTTCTTTCCATTGGTCGAGGTGGCATAAAGGGATGAGGGTTTTAGGATAACCCAGTCAGAGCAACAATCATTCAAAGTCAAAGAACATTTCACGTTTACAAGGATACATTGTATTGTTACCCATAACACAATCCGCTAGAATATTACCCATACATCGCCTCTGGTACGGCGCTACGGTCACAGCACGTGGCTCGTAAGTACCGAACGTTTCGCCGCTCCCAATATGAACACAGCTGAGTACCAAAACAAACAACCCGTCTATCGCACGAGCATAAAGCCATACCATGCATGCTACGAGTAAAATAGAAATATACCCTCTAAGCCACACTGCTATAAAAACAGACAGCAAATACAGATATAAGAGTATAACCACCAGAGTATATCGGAGAGAACTAGCCTATGCTTCTGAATTAGCGAAGTGGACCCTGTTTCCCGTATGATATGGACGCACAACTAATCCGTGTAAAATATACATTAAATAGCAGTAATAGAGAGCAGGTACACTACACATACGATAAACGAGGACCTTTGGATTAATTATTATGTTTTGATTAACATGATATAGTAGCAGCCGTAAGCGACCATCATGCTACACCCATGTTTATAGCATTAACTCGCGTTCCTAAAATTCCAAGCATAGCTAGTTCACGTGCAATGACGCCATATTGGCTAATCGTTCACGTGAAAACATCGGCTGGATGTGCCAACCGGGGCGTATGAAATGCACCAGCAGCCTGCCATGTACACAGATGACGTCATTAGCAGAGCTCGGACATGCGATGAAGGCCACTGACTGGCTGCTGTGGTGACACGCCGCGGCTGGCACACAGATACAAACACAGGTGGCCGAGCAACAGAGGACTGCCTTTTTCGATACATTTAGGGTGTTCCACTGAACTCTAATATTCACTCCAAGACTTATTGTCGTTCAAGCAATTTACGCCTCAATAAAAAGACTCAACCAACAAAGGCAATCGCATAGTCCCGACTTGCCTAATCTCACTGTTGATACAGCACACATCCATTTTTACAGCCAAGTTATAATGATTTTTATTGTCTGTGAAACTTGGAGTGAATATTTAGCTTAAATGGAACAAAATCAAGACAGCATAAGGACATCAGTTGTAAGGATTAGCAATACAAAATGAGTTTAAGTACATTTCATCAATGGGCGCATATAAAACTTCGCAGGTAAGCATATGATTACGGAGCGAGCGAAGCGAGCGGAGTCTCATACTGAATTAAGGGAAAATCCTGAGTATGAGCGGCCGGCCGGCCGGCCGGCCGTGGGGACGCTCTTCAAAAGCTAATATCTTAGGAACGGGACATCCGATTGACAAGCGGTCTTCTTTACTGAATGTCACTTGGACGTAAAAGTTCTGTGGTGTGATGGCCACCATGCGTTCTTGCCAACCACCGCACGTGGCGCGTGGTAAAGTTGGACATTTTTTAAGAACCCCCAAAATTGCAACCTCAATAACGGCACAACGGTCGGGCCGATTGAATTGAAACTCGGTACACAGTTAGGTCTCCATCAGATAATTCATCTGCATGTGTTAAGGTTGGGGTGCTACAGCACGTGCGCACGTGCAGGGGGCGCTCCCAGATCTCGAGAACGGCTGGGCCGATTGCGCTCAAATTTGGTACACGGTTGGGGACCAGTTAGTAGGGTGCCGTGCAAAAGTCAGTTTGGACCCCGCTTGCACGTGCGCACGTGCAGTGTGCCGCTTCCAGATCTCGAGAACGGCTAGGCCGATTGCGCTGAAATTTGGCACATCGCTAAAGACCGGTTAGTAGGGTGCAGTGCACAAGTTAGTTGGAGGTACCCCCTCGCAATTTCGCACGTGCAAGGCCCATCCTCTCGCTCGCTCCGTTGGTCGCCCAAAAGGCGTTTTACTGGTTTAGAGAGACCAACAGATGTGGGAAAAACGTTAACATGCTGTGTAAAAGTACGCTACCATAACTTTCAATAAAATTTCAAGCACATTTCATTATTTACATATAAAGCTACGTTAAAATATGTTAGAATAATAACGCACAAATATAAGGCAAGCCTGGTAAAAAGAAAGCACGCAGTTTAAGTGACCCCATCCTGCTATATGAACCATTGGGGGAAAGCGCCTCAAGATACAATTGCCATCACCAAGTAACGTTTCCAGTTTCCACTGCCCGACACGACTAATCGATCACGCGGCGTCCTCCTTTCACAGTGTGGCACAGTACTACCACTATATGTGATAAAAAAGGCCCACGGGCGTTGGCTCTCAGCGACAACAGCCGTCACATGGCACTAGGGCTAGACCCCAATAATTGGGTCCTAGGGGGTTACATTCAGAGGGAATGTCTCCGTGTTACGTGCACCGGAAACTGAAGCCACGGGGAGGCGGACATGCTCCTGCACTAACTTTAGATCGGGAATTGCTCTAATAAAACGCTTGAAAACGCACCATTCCGCTTGAAGGGCTTGGAGTGGAGATGGTGCCATACTTTTAATGCGAATTCTTATCTACCAATCACGACGCTACTAAATGTTGATGAATCCACTCCGTACCAATCGCATGGCTTAGGATAAAATGACCATAAGAGAAAGCCATCGGAATGCGGGAATAAATCAACGGAATGCAAGATCTGAGAACTGTGCCACTAAAGCACAGCTGCCCGAAAAGTCTCCTCACAGCACATCTTGTTGAACCACACGGCAATTTAACCACATCGCTAATAACACTAGAATCGCTTTGATTTCATTACTTAGCCACTGATAAAGCAGGTGCAGACGGGACTGACTCCATTCAGCCGAGAGAAGCTGAGCATTAATGCTATGTCATGGTGATGCTGGCACTCAAATTGTCGTCTTCTGCACCCTTCCGCATACGAATCGATTACCGGAGACAGGGGCTCCATCATTCAACACCAAAATTTCTGTAGCATTACTACTCAAGGTCTCTCTTATATCGACGCGCATCCCCGCGAATTCCATTCTTTTACAGATCACTCCACCGAACCGGCTTCGCGGGACTCCCACAGCACCCGCCGCCGGTGCCGTCTTACCTAGTGGTCGGACCCATCTCCTACTGAAGCACTAGCTCTGCTACATACCCCTCCGACAGGACTGACCGCCTAATCGCTCAGTCTTGCTCATCCATAAGAAGTGCCGCCACTACTTCGTGGTTTCCCAATGGAACTGACCGCTTGTTGAAGCACCACTAGGACTGACCGCCTGCCGTGCCGCCGCCAGGCCGGGCCGGGCCGTCAGCCCAGCATGAGGCCGTGGTTCTTGCTGAGCCGCTTCCTGGCGCGGTCGTCGACACGGGAGAGCGGCCCATTGACCACGGGCAGGCCGGTCTGGAGTCCCGAGGTGCGCTGCTGGTAGTACGTCTCGGTGGAGCCGCTCCGCTGAGCCAGGAGAACGTCCGACGGCGTCCTGCCGCCGGCGGAACGGGGTGGCCATTAGACAGAGAGCCGGGTATTAATGGCAGACTCACATACGTCAGTATTAAGTATGTCAGTCATGCATTTTTACAGCCTAAGTCTAAGCCAGAAGCTAAACATTTCTCAGTGACTAGAACCGCTTGCTAGATTATACACACAGCACGAGGTACCACGAGACGGAGCAGGCAAACAAATGGCAGAGGGCAGTCCTGGCGCAAGTGAGCAGTCCCGCCCCTCCTCCGATACATGCATTCTATCTCCATTCCCTCTCTCCCCGTCCTTCCACTACTCTACCCCATCCTCTGACTAGGCTTCCCCCAGCCTGGTATCATCGTGTCAGCAGAGCCGTCCCGGCCTCACCTGATGCGGCAGTCGGCCAGCCGGCCGGCCAGCAGGTCGGCGTGCACCATCTGTACGAGGTGCGAGTCGAGCCGCGTGGCGCCCTCTGACTCCAGCTGGCGGCCGGGGCCGGCGTCGGGCGCGGCGGGCCCGTCGCCGCCGGCGGCCGGCCGCTCGCGTACGGACACGTAGCTGTAGTGCTGGCCGTGGAAGGACGGGATCGAGCGGTAGCTGCGCAGCATCGTCTCCAGCTCCAGTAGGCCGGCCCCGGTCACGTGGTTCTGCGGGGGAGGAGATAGGGCTGTTGTTGTGATGCTGGTACGCGATAAAGCTCTGGTGGAAGCCGGAAGGCAATCAAGTTAGCCTTGACGAGGACCTGTTCATCCCTTGGCATCCCGTTGTATGTAATTCTGAAGTTCTGAACATAAAAAACAAGTCTAACATGAGCGGTGCAGCATCGTTCTAGAAATGTGTGTTGTCTCCTGCGCATTCAGAGACTGATCTGGAATCACAAAGCTATCGACATGCGGCCTCTAGCATTCGCTGTCACGCTCACACAGTTGTCATCACACATCCTTCGGTCAGCTCCGATGGCCGCTATCTGCGACTCACCAGGTGCTGCACGGTGCCGCGCAGGGCGGCGCCGCGCGGCGGCTCCAGCAGCACGTGACAGCGCAGTTTGCCGATGGCGTGGGTGTAGAGCAGCGCCGCGACGAGCGGCTCGTCGGCCGGCAGCTGCGGGGTGCCGCCGTCCGGCAGCTGCGCCGCCAGCTGGCGCGGCCGCCAGCTCAGCTCCTCGCCGTCGCTGTAGAAGCGGCGTCCGACGGGCCGGCCGCGCGGCGAGCCGGCCGGCCGCGGGCTCTCGGAGAAGTAGCCGGCCGGCGCGCCGCGCACCGGTCGCCAGGGGGGACCGCGAGCCGACGGGGAGGGCGGCGGCGCGACGCCGGCCGGCTCTGCGACCGCCAGCCGCGGCGTGTACAGCCGGTTGGAGCGGGGGATACCGAAGCTGTACGGGTTGGCCGAGACGGCCGTGAACGCCGGCTGGTTGTCCGGCAGCGACGCCTGCAGCTTGCGCACCTCGTCGCGGTAGAGGTCCGGCTGGCGGCGCTTCAGGTAGGCCAGGTTGGAGAACGGCTCTGGCACGTCCAGCTCGGTGAGGCTGCGGCGCGGCCGGCGGCTGGCGCGCGACCGCCGCCGCAGCTGGCGCACCGGAATCTCGTCGAGCGCCGGCGGCGGCGGCTGCTCGGCGCGCGCGCACTCGGCCGACAGCGCCTGCAGTGCCAGCGCGCTGATCCGGTGCCGCACGGCGGCCGGCGACTCAGACTCCATCGGGTCCGGCTCGGCGGGCCCGGCCGGCGCGGCGGCCGCCAGCCGGTCCGCCGGCACCGGCCGTTTGTCCGGCGACTGTCGCCGGCGGCGGCGGCGGCGCCGGACCGCGTCCGGCCGGTTCTCCTTCCCCGGCCTGGCGTCGGCGCCGCCCTCCTGCGCTGAGCTGGTGACGGAGGCGGCGCCGCTGCCCCCGCCGGTCCCCTCTGTAGCCTCGTCAATGGCCACGAGCGGCGGTAGGTCGGAGGGCGAGGAGGAGGGCGGAAACTGTGGGCAAACGCACACAGGTGTCGGCGCGGGTAGCCGGTAGAGTGAACGTGACCCAGGGGAGCAGCTCGGTAGTGTTAATGTGAAGCTACATCAGCATAGACTCAAGGGAAACAATGCACGGGTGGACCCATCCCTCTCACCAATCACCATACATCATAATCGAGTAGCGTCGCAGAGTTATTATCAGAGAAATTAGTGCCAATTCCCTAGCGTTGATAACTATGAAGCGTCACAAGGAAAACAGTGAAAACAAACCTCTTATTCTAAGTACTTATGTTAGTGTGACTACCACCCAACTATCAGACCACCATTATCAGCCCACTACTATCCACCGGCACCTCTGACTAAACAAACGGCGGACACCGCGTCCACACCGCGACCCATTTCGGCCGGCGATGCCACCCACCTCCTCGGATCGGACCCAGCGTTTCTCGGCGCCCGCCCTCAGCCCCGTGGCCAGCGCGCCGCCCAGGTGCACCCGCGCCAGCAGCGTGCCGGGAGGCATCACAAAGTCCACGTCGGCCAGGTCAAAGGCGTCCTGGAACCGGCACAGACACCGAATCGCTACATGGCTATTCGATTTCGAGATAAAAAGAACAGGTTAGACGGACGATTGACAGCACGTTCAGTGAATGAGACGGACAGCCTGCAGTTGACCTAAATCTTACTGACTATTGTTTACAACGAGTTTGAGCTACTATCTAATCTAAGAGACCGGTTATCCGAGCTGTAACCTATATGAGTAGCGCGGTTCGTGCGGTCGCCACCTTTTGAGTGGTTCTTCCTTACCCCTGACAGGCGGTGAACGTGGACGAGAACCTCGAGCACCTCTTCGATGTCGTCATTCGAAACAACCCTGCAGCAGACACATCAATATCAAATAAGGACGTTAACCCGCGCCCGGCTGGGGGTCCTGGATTTCCACGTCCTGCTGGGGGGGGGGGGGGTGTTTGAACACCCCCCCCCTTCTAACTCGGCTCCTGGGCCACGTAGCGATACGCGGAAGGCGGCGTTCGAAAGAGCGTCAAAAATAATGAGGAAATCACTTCGGTCAATTTTTTGGTCAGGTCAAAGGTCAGGTCACCAGAGGTCATTGAAGGCAAAATTTCGCCGATTTCCAGGTCGAATGTCGACAATTTCCAAGAAGCCAACGCATAACTCGGGAACCAATAGAGCTACAGCGCCGCGGAAAAGCACATTCGATAGCCCTATTAACGCCCTTTCTGAGCAATTTTCTCAGATTTGACCTAACGTCAACGGTTTTGCCTGCAGGGGGCAAAAACTGCAAAAATAGCCTATTTTTTTCGGAAACAGTTTTTCTGCAATAACTTTTGACCCAAGCCTTGTACGAGCTTACTTTTACCGGCATCGTGTTCCTCTCGTCAAGACGCATCGAATGAACTATAACTTGACCTTGAAAGGTCAACTTGAAAATTTGACCTCAGGTCAAGGTCATGACCTGACCGGAAAGGGTCATGTTGCATATCAGTCGATCCGTATCGTCGAGCTGAACACATCTAAGGCGTTTTCATCGCTCTAGCATGCCTCTATCAAAAGTTATTTGCGAAAAACTGTTAGATACCATTCGTGACCTAAGATGACCTCAGGGCATAAACAGGGGTCACGGACACCATTTTCATGTTCAGTGTGTCTAAACCACTTGTAATTCAGTGTTTGGGAGCGTTTATAATGTCTTTCGTCCAAAAGAGGCGCATTTCAATTTTCTCCCATTGACTTATAATGGGGAGGTCGCAAAATTGACCTGACCTTAGGTCATCGATATCAAAATTCTGAGATATACATTTTGTACATGCTATTACTCTTAGCAATCGCTGAGAGTCTCAAAGCAATCGGTCACTCGGTGTAGCTATGACAGACATTGAAACTTTTTATGAGGTGAGGTCACTTCAAGTGACCTGGTGACCTGACCTTGAATGACCTTGGTCTGAAATTTTCAAAACATGTGTAGAATTGATGTATGATAAGGTGTACCAAAAACGGCGGCGGGAGCGCCGCCGTTTTTGAGATATTCGCGAAAAACCATAAGGGGGGTGTTCAAACACCCCCCCCCCCCCCAGCAGGGCGCGGGTTAATCGCCTAACATCTTCAGCAAACGTGATCGTGTGAAACATGTCGGCTTAAAGTGCACTACAAGTGGGCATAACAAGTAAATAAACCCAAACACCACACGCATGAGATAAATCATGCAGTCGGTTCGCCCCCATCATTCCGGGTACCGGGCAGTGGAGAGGTGCTTACTTGGCGTCCCAGCAGAGGGTGCAGCTCAGCACCCCCGGCAGCCGCAGCGCCGCGCTCTGAACGTCAGACAACTGCTGCGCTATGAAGTCGTCCTTCTGAGAACGGACAGCGCGCGGAGGTACGACTAAGACACGGCGCGCCAAACTACCGCCACACGGTGCACAGTGCACACACACACACAGACACACGGGCCAATAGACACGGCGGGCCGAACTACCGCCACACGGCGCGCCGAACTACCGCCACACGGTGCACAGTGCACACACACACAGACACACGGGCCAACAGACACACGGAGCGGGCAGAACGGCAGCCGACGGCTACGGCAGGCGTACACATCAGGCTGACATATCAGACGAGGATCAACTGGTGGACGAAAGACAACATCAACGAGACGCTCTATATGATTATGGACCGATACTGAATGCAGCCAACTGACCTAACATTGACCAGCACCATGCATTAATTTAATCATTGGAAATAATTCGCACTGCGTGAAAGCCTAGTGACAAGAAGAACGTCATTGAGCGCAAGCAAATAAGTACGTTGAACCAGCCCATTATTTCGCCACCATGCTTATCTAGCTAAATCTACACAAAACCACATTCTGAATGTGAAGTTGTTTGTTTCAGCTGACCTATGAAAGCCACCAGATGCTCCATTTAGATACCAACGTACAATGTTTCTCAGTGCCACCGGTGATTCTCGGGCGTCCGACACCGGTAAGTTTCCCATCGTACTACCGTCGTTCCACCACCCACCTGGGCCCAGTCGAGTCGCGGCACCACGTCCAGGACGCGCTCGAGCGGTGGCTGGCCGCCGGCGGCCGCCAGCAGCGGGCCCAGCGTGCGCGCCAGCCGGCGGCGCAGCACGCCGCGGTCGCCGCCGGCCGCCGCCAGCAGCGCCGACAGGCTGCCGTGCAGCAGCCGCAGCGCCTGCCGCGTGCGCGTCAGCTGCGCGCGCGTCACGTACGGCTCGTCCTCGCCCGAGGTGTGCATCACCTGAGACAGAGAGCGGAGACACTGGGTTAGGGGTGTGCATCACCTGAGACAGAGAGCGGAGACACTGGGTTAGGGGTGTGCATCACCTGAGACAGAGAGCGGAGACACTGGGTTAGGGGTGTGCATCACCTGAGACAGAGAGCGGAGACACTGGGTTAGGGGTGTACATCACCTGAGACAGAGAGTGGAGACACTGGGTTAGGGGTGTGCATCACCTGAGACAGAGAGCGGAGACACTGGGTTAGGGGTGTGCATCACCTGAGACAGAGAGCGGAGACACTGGGTTAGGGGTGTGCATCACCTGAGACAGAGAGCGGAGACACTGGGTTAGGGGTGTGCATCACCTGAGACAGAGAGCAGAGACACTGGGTTAGGGGTGTGCATTACCTGAGACAGAGAGCGGAGACACTGGGTTAGGGGTGTGCATCACCTGAGACAGAGAGCAGAGACACTGGGTTAGGGGTGTGCATCACCTGAGACAGAGAGTGGAGACACTCGGTTAGGGGTGTGCATCACCTGAGACAGAGAGCGGAGACACTGGGTTAGGGTGTGCATCACCTGAGACAGAGAGCGGAAGGATCAGCTGAAGAGGCACTCGCTGTGGAACGTTCGGTGCGACAGTGTATTCAGCGTGAGCTAAACTGGTAGAGATAAAATATCTAGTAGGTAAAGGAACATATAAGACAGCCAATGAGAATTATTTAACGCACCGATCCAGAGCGAGTCATATTACAGTTGTTCAGCTGTCTTTGCATTCACAGCTTATCAAGAGGGAAGGCACATAACATTTATTTGAAAGCCTGTTTCCAGCACCTTGACTTCTCCATATCCGAGTGCTTACCCAGACAAAGTTGCTCTCTCTGTGCAGGACAAACTGGCCGTGCCGGAGGCGGATCAGCCGCGGGAAGGTGGCCATGTCCTTCTCAGTGAAGAAGGCGGTGCCCATCAGCTGACAGACGAGGTGGAGCGCCGCGCTGTCCACGATGGCCGCGCCGTCTGCGTCCACCTCGCCGGAGAGCTCCTGCACTACGTCGCCGCCGCCGCCGCCGCAGCGCAGGAAACAGATGGCCTCGGCCGGGTCGTCCTCCTCGCGCGTGCAGCACGTCGTGTCGTAGATGAACATCATCCTGCCGTACCTGCGGCAGTCCACACCACCGTCACCGGGGCTGCTGCACTGGAGGCAGCCGTACCTGCGGCGGTCCGCACCACCGTCACCGGGGCTGCTGCACTGGAGGCAGCCGTACCTGCAGCGGTCCGCACCACCGTCACCGGGGCTGCACTGGAGGCGAACCGAGCGTACTGCCGATCCTGGTGACAGCTGGTGATGCTAATAACGTGGTAATGGAGAAAAAAATTCATCAGGGCATGCTAGGAAGCTATAGTTCGGCTGTTTATTGAAGTGGTATCTACTTGTAAAGGCAGCACAATTATCAGCAGCAAAAAAAAAGTTAAGAGAATTTACTTGAACACATTTTGGGAATGGTAACACATGGAAAAACATAAACCTGCCCTTAAATATGCCTTATTTTGGATACCACAATGTTTTATCTCACCTTAAAACTTCATCCATCTTGGATATATGAAGGAGGAATAAAATGCCACTTCTTCAAGCCAGCAAACTTCACACGTATCTTCGGACTAAATGAGCATTGGTTAGTGCTTCATTCGAAACAGATTTCAATGCTCCTGAAGTGTAGCAACACTTGCAAAATGCAGATGAACCTGAAATTTCCAAAAAAAACCCTGAATATTAGAAGGGATATGCCATATAAACTCATCATTCACACATAAAGAAAACCAATGAAGACACACTCAGCTTCTCAGGTTTGTTCACAGTACATAGTGATCAAGACGGTAGCTCTAAGCTCTAAAAAGAGCTCCCTATTATGGCTTCTGTCCAAGATCGCTTCTGCCACGTCCTGGGTGTCAGAAGAAACAATCACCCGGGATGCCGGTCCCGTAGCTCAGTCGGTAGAGCGTTGGACTCCGCGTGGTGAGAGCACGCGTTCCCGATTACAACAGTCCGGGTTCGAAGCGCGGCGGGCGCTTGACGTTTATGGGCCTCCTGACAGGTACAGGGTGTAACGAAATTATCCGGACGTCATCTTTTTCGCTATATCTGCTCGCACAGTTTTTTTTTTAATGTCAGAGGCTGGAAAATTGGATTAATGCATACCTCTGGTATCTGCTCTCAACTCAGTAGTGATCTGACCTTGCGAAATGACTCTTACTTGGATTAATGCATACCTCTGGTATCTGCTCTCAACTCAGTAGTGATCTGACATTGCGAAATGACTCTTGCTCTGAGTAAGAGTCATTTCGCAAGGTCAGATCACTACTGAGAGAGCAGATACCAGAGATATGCATTAATCCAATTTTGATAGTCTTCGTTTAACCCTCGACAGACCTATTGGTTTTCTACATACGCGCCGGCCGAGGGGGGGGGGGGCGGGTACGACCCCCCCTCGCCGTTTCGCCCCTGGTGGAGCTAGCGCGTCGCGGAAAAAACGAGCGTGTGCGCCGTTACGAGACGCAGAGATTGGTACCCGATTTTAAGGTCCTAGGTCAACCGGTGACCTCTGAGGTCAGGTCAAGTGCCCCAAGGTACGGTTCAGTTTTTGGTGAATAACTTCGAAAAAACGGCCGCAGAGCGCCGATTTTGGCAGCATCGTGTTCGCCTCGCTCAGGCGCGTCGAATGATATACTTTTTGTCCGGGTCAGGTCAACTTGGGGTGTTGACCTCAGGTCAAGGTCAGGTCAGCACCCCCAGGTCACGAAGTTGGTCGAAAGAGGTCATGTCGCATAGCATTCAATTCGGCAGGCCTTTCTGAGTCCATTGGTGGCTTTCCCGACTCGCTAGCTCAATTTGATCAAGAGTTATTGACGAAAAACTAATATGACCTTGATGACGTCATAAATGACGTCACGAAAGGTCAACATTGCAAAAGTGACGCATCTAACCTTGCAAGGAGTGCATCAAATCACGATTCTGTGTGCTTGAGATAGTTGGAGATCGTTCCCGGCGCCAGAATAGCAGTTTTCATTTTTCCCCCTTGACTTATAATGGTGAGGTCACGAAAATGACCTGACCTCATATGACCTTTAGGAAAAATCCGAGATATACAAGTTGTGGGACTCATAATGGATACTAGATCCTGCAAGTTTCATTTCCCTGTGACATCTCCTCTGGCAGTGAGGGCGTTGCGAAGTTGCGACATCTGAAGACCGTGCAGAGGTTCACTTATGACGTCATAGGTCAGTGACCTGACCTGACCCAAAAATGCGGTTGGTGTCAAAAGATCCGGCTTGGATCAAAGGTCAGGTATGCCAAGTTTCAGGTCTCTATCGCCAGCGTGTTCGGAGCTATCGCGAAAAACCCTATGGGGGGGGGGCGGCACCCGCGCCCCCCCCCCCTCGGCCGGCGAGGGTTAACCCTCGCCCGCACATGGGGGGGGGGGTGGTTGCCACCCCCCCCCCCCCCCAGGTAGTCTTTCTGCTCTGCACTCAACATTTTTAGAGCTAGAAGGCTGATTTTTCGTATAGCTGCTCCTCTATCCTTTCTTGATGTCCACTGAAAATTTCAAGTTTCTGTGATTTTTGGTTTCGGAGATATGACCTTGTTTTTCAGGTCATGTCATGACCCAAATGGCCAATTCTTAACATCTTGCGTTTGCCATGGGCCTTGTGAGCTTTTGACACCCTGATTTCGGCCTTTTTTGCCAGTCTTACCTCCCACCTATCATGGAACATGTTGTTCGACGATGTATAGGGGTCAAGGTCAGGGTCAAGGTCAACCTAGGTCATCTAAGATAATTGCGTTTTAGGCAAGCTGAATTTACTTTTTGTGAAGTTTTTTGACTGCATTTTTGGTAAAAGCTTCTCAGATCATGATTTCATGTAATATGGACCCAAAAACAATCGGTGCACACATCAGTATACACACAGATACACACAGACATACAAACACATATAATTGACCTTGACCTAACTTGACCTGAAATGACCTCAGCAGCAAAATTCTGGTCGGGTAGTGTGACAAAGAGGTTCTAGCTGGCTTGGCACCAGAAAACAGCATCGTCATCGGTATTTGATAAGCAGCGCACTTGATATCCAACGGTGACCCAAAACAGCAACATTTTTTAGTTTGACCTGACCTGGAAGGTCAATGACTGACCTGAGAAGGTAAAACTGGGTATCATTGGATTCGTCTCTTCCCAAAGAATCTTTTTGGTCTTTACCGCTAAGCTCTATCTCCAACAGGAACGAAATGGCGCGGGGGGGGGTGGCAACCCCCCCCCCCCATGTGCGTTCTAGGATGGGAAAATGGCATGTGCGGGCGAGGGTTAAGGCAGTGGAGAGAAGGGAGTACAGTCTCTCGTTTCGTAGTAAGGCTACGTGTTGGTGGCATGGTGGCATGAGCCAGAAGCTGGTCTGTCAGCAGCTGGACATCAGCAGCAGCCAGTAGCACATCTGCCTGACGCGTAATAAGCTGGGACTTGCTGGCAGACTCAGCCCAGCCTCGATCGCAAAAGGCGGCCTTTGCCAAGTGGTGAGGAGAGTTGTCAAGATAGCGACAAGGAAGCGGCACTAATTAATCCGCATACTGACTCGAATTCTTACCAAGGCAGATAATAGGAGGTCCCACATCATGATTCACCGTTAACCCGCCCTTTAGCTTGGTTTTACTGCCCTTTAAACTGAAAAAGACAATGAAATTGACGGGAAAACAATCAGTCCACCACCTTTGGCCTCAGGCCAGGGCGTGTCCACTGGTCGAAGGAAGACATGAATGAGGTGCCCTGGTCGGATGGGAAGCTATTCGAGCTGCGATATCCGTTGAGCCGTCAAATCGGCCATGTGTGACTGTGGGCTGCCAGCAGCTCGAACGTGCCGGCCGTCACTGGCGTCAAACATCCGGCCAAAATCCAGACCTGGAGCATGTTCAGCTGCCGTGCGATATTCAGGCTTTTCATGACGCCACAGAAAACCACTATCAGTGACGAGTATTACCAGCGCAACATCCTAGCTAGCGATTGGTTGGAGACACTCAACCAGACGGCACATGAGGGTTCGGTTTCTGAACGTGTACCGATGCCTGATTCAAGCCACACAGTCTTCATGCGGCGCGGCGCACCACCTTCAAGTCCCTAGCAGAATGAGAAGTGATGCCGAGAGGACCTATTTTTCTTCTGGGCTAAAGGGCTATGGCTTGGAAATAGTTCCCATGCAATTCCACCGATATCTTATGGACTATTGTCCATCAGGAGATGAATGAGGGGACACCCGCCTGCCACCACCAGCGCCGCCGAACTGCGGGCACAGGTTAGTATGGCGCTACTCTATATGAAACCCACTGTGCTGTAAAATCCAGTGGCTGGAATGCTCCAAAAATTTGAACCTGCGCTCTTATGAATGGTGGCTATATAATAATTCAAAAGGGAAAATATCTGAATGTCTTGCTTCTTAATTACAGCGCGAAGAAAGATGTCCGGATAATTTCGTTACACCCTGTATGGTTGCGGTTGGTCGCAAGCCGTAGCCAGGCGAAGTCAGTTGAGGGGACCGACCGTGCGCGGTGCGCGGCTATGTGCGCACGCTAAACTTTGGACTCCAAATTCTGCCATAGAACTGGAATTGCGCGATCGGAGGGTAGAGGGCAGGGCCAACGCAACAAGCTTCGCTTAGCGGGGGCTCTGTCCTTGTGAATCTTTCCATTCAAAAGGTTCGGACTTCGGACTAAATTTATAAAAAAGCTTTCATTTTGAGCAAACCCAAGTTGCTGAAAATGGGAATGCAGTGTTGCCACTTCGACTATTTCCAAGGGGGACCAGAGAACCATTTAGGTCCATGACAACCAGCCAAGATCCAGTTCATTCCAGCCATACACTCCTTGATAAGTCAGGTTACCTCACATGGACAGGGCAGCCCATATTTTTACACATCAATCATGAGCTGCTATATATTCTGGCAAAAGTGAACTAATAGATAAATCACATCAACAGATGCAGTTGGCTCGCATACACCCTTCTGTCTTGTAAGGACTAAGGAATGATGCCACTTCATGGCTCTTGACAAAAAAAGACACTAGGCAGACAAAGAAGTCAAAACTGTGTATGGACACAGGCTCTAATATTCACAGGACACTGACACAGGACACATTCAGTTCAAACAATTAACAACTGAGGAGGCTATAGTTAGAGACATGCAGATGCCTTATCTCATATCCATCAATCCTGACCGATATTGTCATGCATGAGAGTAAGTACATTGCTGATCCAGAGAGCCAGTCTATTTCATGACTCAGGATCCAGATCCCAGGATTCCATTTACTCAAATACCTATACTTTCAGAGAAGCTACCTAAGTCCTAAATTATTATGGGCAATGATAGGATATTACATAAGTACTGTAGTTTCATTTGAAATAATTGAATGAGGACTTTACTCCACAAGAAATCGTTCGGGTCGGAGCTTTCGAATTGTATTACAAAGCTTCGCCAGCGTATCGTAATCGGGTTCGGGGGTAGGTATGGTCGCAAAATTGAGGGCGATTCGTCTTTGGCAGACAAGGACATGTAACAGATAGTAAAATAGATAAATAGCACGTGACATTCTATGATAAAACATTTAACATATATGAAAAAGAAGAAAATATCTCATAAGCGATATACATTCTAATTATATCTAAATCTGTTAAATAACAAAGGTTATATAAAGTGATAAATA